ACCAAGGACCTTATCCTTGCGTCCCCCTCGAACTCTCCGGTTCGCCACACTTAAGTATAACCCACTCATACTTCCCTAACACAATCTCTAGGTCCTTGACCTATGACTGTACAATCCTCATCATCGATCCAGACTGCTCCCGAGTCTGCTAACCTGCTATCTCGCCTTCCTTTGTCCAAACCTCCAATCTGGAGACACTATCCCCCTCCTCTTCCAAGGAGACTGAAAACATGCCTACGCATCATCCAACCTCTGGTTCAAAGATCCTCGACACTTGCAAAGCCCTTACTATGATTGAACCGCCTCATCGCACCATCCCAATAACCAACATTCAAACCGCGTCAGACAACTTTCTACAACCAGCGGCTCATCCGAGAATTTCCAATTCTCCCCCACTTAGGGCACTAACCCCTGTCAACTGGCGGAGAAGTTAACACGCTGCTCAATCGAACCCCACTAATACACCAAACTTCAAGGAACCTAAGTTCCTGCTGAAAGTTCCTGAATTCCCGAACCATAACCTTCCTTCCTCACGAATTCCACATCGGATACTATCTCTCTAACAACTCTCAATACTAACTCTTCTCTAATACATACAACACTTTATATCTCATGCAAGAAACAACAACTCAATCATACATAAACAAGATAAAGCAGAAAACATACCGGCTGACACCTCTGGCTCATACCTGATCGCCTCGGTCACAAGCTGATAAGCACGCCCTGGAGCCATCAGAGGCTCTGCCGAACCCTGACTCCCGTCAGTAAGTCTCAACGTGGATGGCGCTGGGGCCTGCACTGACCTGACAGCCAGCAGAGGACACTGGGCCTTCATATGGCCCACCTGATCACAATGATAACAAAGTCGGACTCCTGCAGATGGAGTCGACTGCTTGCAATCTCTGGCTATATGGCCCTCCTTGCCACACCTGTGGCACCCCGAAGAAGAACAACAACTATCCTCGTGCACCTTGTCGCACTTCCCGCAAGTGCGACTCTTCTGACCTCCCTGTCGATAATCAGCTGGCCACATCCGCTTCGGTGCAGGCTGCGACTGCACCGGGGCCTGCCTCTGCTCTCTCAACTGGAGCTCCATCTCCAACTCGCGCCGCCTGGCGGCCTCCTGCAACTCCAACAAGGTACTACACCTCTGCGTGGACACAAACTGCCGGATATCCCTCTTGAGCATACTCAGATATCGGGACATCTGAGCCTGCTCCGAAGCAAACTCCGGGCAAAACATCGCCCTCTCAGTAAACATCCTGGTGATCTCCGTCACCGACTCTGAATCCTGCTTCAGCTCCAGGAACTCCTGAGCCAACCTCTCTCTCTCAACCTGTGGAACATAACGGGTACTGAACATCTCCCGGAACTGATCCCACGAAACCGCTGCCCGCTGCGCATCAGAGTAAGATCCCGTAGTCAACCTCCACCAATCCTTCGCCCCGAGCCTCAAAAGGTTCAGAGCACACCTCACCGTCTGATCCGCAGGGCATGAACACGTGAAGAAACAACCCTCCACGTCTGACAACCACCTCATAGCAACAATCGGATCCTGAACTCCATCAAAAGTAAGGGGCTTCGTATTGTCGAAATCTCGATACTGAAAACTCCGACTGGCTCCTCCCCCTGCCATTGCCACAGCCGATGCGGCTGCCGCGGCCGCTGTCTCTGCAAGAGCCGCATAACGCTCATCAAAATACTCAACCATGGCGGTCTTGATCGACCCAAACAGTTCCGGCAACTCAGCCCGGAACATAGCAGCAACCTCATCATGCAGGATATCACGAATCCTAGCATCCAACTCATCCGTACTCATCTGACCAATCACCTCGGGATGTGCTGATCCATCCTGACCACCCTCTCCCAATCCCGAACCGGATCCTAACTCGAGACGTCTCGCATCTGCCATACTGCAATAAACCACAAGAACCTCAGATACCTCGCATAACCGCCGAGAAATAACCTCTAACCAACAACCTAGGGGTTGTGACTTCCTTGACACACGTATGGGTCCTGTGCTTTCAGTAGTACGGGCCCATACTACCTTCCACACCTACCCATATTTGTCTCAAGTATCATCACAACGACCTAAGCACAAACATACATAGCAGGCACTCAATCCTCACCCCTAGAGGAATACTGAATATCTCATATCAAGAAAACCCTAGGCTAGCAGGCATCACAAATCAGGCAATTCTATCATGCAATTCCTGAAGATCCCTAGCCTAGTACTAGCATGCTGTTCTAACATATCTCATAAACAAATAACTTGTATGGTATTTTGGGGTAACTTACTGGCTCCGGCTGATCGTACCCTCTGTGTCCTTCTTTACTTATTTTGAAAACCATTTGAAAACTATTTTTGAAAATCTCTCATTGATTTGAGACTGGATTCACACGAATGTTCCTCCAATTCACTCAAACCAAGGCTCTGATACCAACTTGTAACGACCAAAAATTTCAACCAATTTAAAACATTTTATTTCATTCAAAAGCCATTACGTTCATACATCTTGTTTTCAAAACAGTTTAAACATCAGAGTATTTCCCCAGAACCATAACGCATAAAACATAAACATGAGGAGCGGTACGATCACGCCTTCGCCTTGCCACGATCTCCTGAAGCACCTGAAACAATAAACCACAACTGTAAGCCCGAAAGCTTAGTGAGTTTCCCCCAAAGTACCCATACACATAAAAACATACACATACAGCAAAGAACAACATACTACGGGTCCATTCAACCTTCCGGTTGGAATACCCCCGACCCTCAACCATCGGGTTGGAATGCCTACATAACGCGAGCCCAATCATCCTACCGGGATGGAATACTCTCGGCCCACAACCATCGGGTTGGAATGCCCAAACACCTATACATACAACAATAGCTACTATGGGTCCAATCATCCCTTAGGATGGAATACCCCAGGCCCCTCGACCATCGGGTTGGAATGCCAACATACTTTGAGTCCAATCATCCTACCGGGATGGAATACTCCTGGCCCACAACCATCGGGTTGGAATGCCCCACTTCCTATACATACAGTAACTACTACTACTATTATGGGTCCAATCATCCCTTGGGATGGAATACCCCAGGCCCCTCAACCATCGGGTTGGAATGCCAAACTACTATGAGTCCAATCATCCTACCGGGATGGAATACTCCTGGCCCACAACCATCGGGTTGGAATGCCAATCTACTCTAGCAGACATGCACACATATCAGGCAACCACATAACACTCTACAGAAATAGCACACTAGGGCCCTATCATCCTACCGGGATGGAATACCCTCTACCACTGCTCAACAGACATAACCCGCAAGTATCCTCCTACCAGCGTACATAATGCAAGACCCACTACCGGTCTATAAATAATCACTACCCAACTACCAGGGCGCTGATCCAACAGAACTAGCCATCATACAACTATCCATCTCTCTAGGATACTAGGTAAAAGGCATACTCTCATATCACTATCTTATCCACCAGAATACTAGCAAGCATATCATCACATAATATAACAAGCTCTAACAACAATTCAAAGGGACGGCCTTGGTGCCTTAGACCCTTGAGTACAGTGAGGAAAACTCACCTTGCCACTGCCGAAATCCTGCAAATCTCTGACTGCTCATTCACCGGGAATCCCCACTATCACATGCAAAAATCATCTCATTATACACTATCATGACTTTCTAGGCCAAGTGCCCACAACACTTATTAAGTCCATCATCCTCTTATTGGGCCAAGACCCAAAACCAAATCCTCATGCAAAGCCCAATATTGGCCCAATTTACTAAATTGGGCCCACCTCACCAAATGGGCCAAGATCCAAGGTCCATAATAATTATTGGATCTAAATTACTCCATCCATAATGTTCAGTCACGGCCCAAGCCCCACCAGCCCATAAACAGCCCAATCACTTAAGGCCCAAAATCAAAAACCCAAAAGAGGGAGTACGCTGGGCGTACTTCGATGCTCGCGGACTGGAAACGGGACACTGACCCACTACGCTGGGCGTGCATCCATTTACGCGGGGCGTAATCTTGCTGACTAAAATTCCTCATAAGTTCTTAATGGCTTAAGCTCTTAAGCCCAAACTTCAGATCCATCGACCAAACATGCCTAGGATTCATAAAGTCTCAAACTTTATTATTTGGGACGTCCATAAAGCTCTTAACTCAAGGTCTTAACCCAATAAGACCTTCCTATTTCTTACATGGGACAACCAAAGCCATTGGGACCTCATTTTTCTTACTCAAGACCTCTCCAATGGTCTGAAAGGACAGCTCATCTTAACCAAAACACATCATGCATCAAGATGTGGGTTTTTGGGACAAGAATGGTGTTAAAACTTCACCATACATAGATCATCACAAAATAGATGTCAAGCAAGAAGCTTTATACCTCAAAAGGGCTCCAGAAGATGATGCCTTCCCAGATCTACGAGCTCCAGCCACCCAACTCCTTCCTTGACAACTTCTTCTTTCTTCTCCTAGGCTCTCCTTTGCCAAACCAAGCTCCCCAAGATCAAATATCCACAACCATGGAAGAAAACGGCTACTTAGGGTTTCTGAGAGTAAGAGGGCAGATATGGAGGCTAGGGTTCGAACCATAATGTTCCTTATATAGTGGTTGGCCCTAAAATTAGGGTTTCTGGACACTGGACGTACGCTGGGCCTAAATCCAGTACACTGGGCGTACGTCGAGGAACTCCGCATTTCATTTACTCTATTACGCTGGGCGTAACCCAGCCTACGTTGGGCGTACCCACGCGTGTCCTAAGCATGCATGGCCTTTCTTTGACAACTTTTCCATTAAGTGCCATAAGTGTCAATATCTTCAAGGTGCCATAACTCCATTATTCTAAGTCCGTTTCCGACGAACTTTATATCCACGAAAAGGTGGCGAGAAGCCCTACACTTCTAGCAACACACCCCGACCCGAAGCCTTCTCGAATAAAACCCATTGCCCATAGAAAGAACGAAACTCCCTTACTCTTGATCTCGGGAATTCCATAAATAATTACTCTTAGAACGGGGCGTTACATACACATTCATTCTCCTCCCATTTGCATAAGCCAAATCCAAAAATTCTTTGTAATCACCGTCATTCACCAGTGTATGAATTCCATGACTTAAAGACTCTTGTGGAAGGCAGAAGTAGATGTCTTTGCTTCTAGTTCTGGTGAGCTTTTGAAGGAATTCCATGAACTCCTCGTACTCAAATGCACTGAAGTCAACATCTCCTACTGATTGTCTGTCGGGATCAAAGTATACTAATGGGTTGGGTGCAAACGTTCCATTGTAGTGGAAATCCACTATAATGAAGTTTCGATCAGTGGGACATTGTGATGAAGCCATTATAGAGACCGATTGAAGATTGAAGGAGACAAAATCGGGGGTTAATTAGACTTGGTTCCCTAATCGAATTTAAGGACCAAACGAGACTTCACTCTTAACTTTAATGAAGATGGGAGGCAAAATCGGGGCCTACATGCCACCTCATTGGCCACCTAGGATAAAAAAGCCACATCAGACCCATGCAATCGTTGAAACCGGCTATAATCAGTCATAGGGGAAAATTTGCACGAATCAACAAGTTAAATGGCTATTAGAGCACAAAAAAAAGTTTAATGACCAAATGTGACCAAAAGCAATAGTATGTTACCCTCTCAAGTCATTATCCCAAAATAATATTCATTTGCAAAATATAACATTAGGGCCGACCCTGACGATGGGCAACCCAGGCGACCGCCCATGGTTCACGTCTCTAAGTGGGCCAAAATTTATGGTCTATATATTGTATACATATAAACAATTATGTACATATTTCTTAGGGGCCCAATTACCAGATTCCCAATTTAGCCCAAACTCAAATTAGCCCAAACTCAAGTTAGCCCAAATAAAGAAATTGGTTTGGTGCGGGGTATGATTTCCCAAACCCGCTCCGATATCTTTCGGGTATCTTATCGGGGAGCCCATCAGGTTTCGGGTATTCCCGTCGGGTTTTGGGTAACTTATCGGGTTTACAACAATTCATAATGAAATCTTTATTCCGTTTTAGGGTACCCCAATGTCTTATAAAACATACATGTTATACCCTCCCTTGTAAATTAAAAATATGATGCATCACTTTAATAAAATAAATTGAACGTTATATTAAAAAATTATTTGATTTAAGTTTAGTGTAATATGTCAAAACATAAAAAATGATCATTCATAGCAGAATGTTATATATATATATATATATATATATATATATATATATATATATATATATATATATATATATATATATATATATATATATATATATATATATATATATATATATATATATATATAATCGGGGCGGGGCGGGGCGGGGCGAGGATAACCCACTCCCTGCCCCGAACCCAATAAAAAACCCGAAAACGACCATATACCCGACCGGAAATGATCGGGTTTCGGGTTTCCCCGTCGGGTTCGGGCTTTTTTGCCATCCCTAGGTTTGTTCGATGTTCGATGATAGATGAATGCGCATCTAGAATTGTCATGAACAAATGAAGCTCCAAAACGGGAATTAAAAAGCCTTGTGAATATAATCGACATCATCGATAATGGTAACTGAATCGTCATATACATCAGGCGGGAACTCGTGCATCGTCGACGTCATGATGTCGCCTTCTCCCCCTGACATAAGAACTTAGAAGTGCATTCAACCATCGCTTCTAGAATCGTTATTCTCTCTTTCTTGAATCGTCATTTACTCTTCTCTCTTACACTCACATTTTGACTTCTCTGTGCTTCCCACTCTGGTTTTTCTCATACTTTACTCCTCACACTCGTTTCTCTCAAACTTTCTCACAATCCGTCATTCGTCTTCTACCTCTCAATCTCGATTCTTAACCACACCATCTTCTTTTGAATTTATGTTGATTCTAGAATTGTTAGGACTTATCTAGATAACTTTAAGGTATGATTTTTGTTTCTGAAAGCTTATAGATTTGTATATCGTTTTTTTCTTTTAGATTTTTGAATTTGATTTTTTCTTATCAATCTAAGTTTGTATATCATATTTCTTTTTCTGAAAGATTATAATCTTTGTTTCTGATTTTTGTTTGTACATGAAATCTGTAAAGTTTATTATTACAGGAACAGTGAAATGCATTGCCCTAAGTTTCAGATTTTTCACCCATCAAGGTAAAATGTTTTCTGATTTGTTCCAAATATTCTACAATATTATGATGCTTGTTTCTGATTTGTATCTTTCAAAGTTTCAGCTTCAAATATTAGATTTCTGATTTGATAAGATTTATCTATCATTTTGTACGACTTTTATTATTGATTTTATTTACTAGCTTACTTTAATATTAAGCTTCCACTAAGATAGAAATCGGGTGTACTAATTTCTTGAAATAATCTATAGTTATGAATAATAACATAGTTGTTAACTCGTGACTCGATGCGTGACTTGAAAATATAAAATTTTGACTCGTGACTCGGATCGAGACTCGACTCGAAAGATTCATGATATTTACAAAGATTAAATATAAATATATAATACATATATAAAACATAATATTCATTGAATATTAATGAACATCTATTATATTTCGTGGCCAAGAGTGTTAAAAAAAAAAGTAGAGCACGGGCTAATATAAACATGTGGTGAAAGTTGGAGTACAAATTTAGTATAGATGTTGATATATAAAGAAAAATGCATTTAGGGTTATAACATCCTTTCTGCAGGTCTTCACTCTTGACGCACTCTCACCTAACTTTTTCTTTCTACAAGTTCATCTGTTCATGGGTTCAAATCTGAAGATCTTAAGCTCTACGTTCGAATCTGAAGATCTTAACCTCTACACTCTCGTATTTTATTTAAACTTTTTTCTGTTAGCACCTCTAATCCACACTCCTACATTCTTGGTCTTCTCCCCAATGTTCTTAACAGTTCTCAGACTAGTAGTCAAGAAAAAAATCGTTATTAACCGCTTGATAATTTGTTTACCCACCAGATCATGTGATTATCTACGACACGCAATACTCGTCTGAGTCACGAGTTGACTCGACTTGGTACGAATTGGACAAGGACTTGTAAATTTTGACCGAGTCATACCTAAAACTCGAACGAGATTGACAACTATGGATAATAATAAAATGTTTCATAAAGTTTGTTGCTACATTTTGTAATGACAATGTATGCGATGTGGTATGAAATTATCTTTTTTTTCTGAATCAAAGTGATTGTTATCCAAATGTTTTTATAGCATATAACATCTTATTAACCATGCATGTTACTGTTGCATTTGAATCGATAATTTTTTTTCAAAACTGAAGTTATTAAAGAAAATTGCATAAGAAATATTGAATGGTTTGACAATATTATGTATACAGAAATATATGTTAGATAAATTGATAGTATTATCAATGATTTTGCATATAAAAAAGTTAGAAAATTACTATCCTTTAAATATGTTATTTTTTTATAGATATTATGGTTATATTTGTGTTATTGATGATATTATTAGTTTATTTTTATTGATGTCTTTTTTCAAATCTTTATTATATTTGACGTTGAGGGCCCTTCTTTTCTTCTCGCCCCGGGTCCAATATATGTTTGGACTGGCCGTGTATAACATACATTAAAGGGAAAATTTCCTATATATCCTTGCAAACTCAAAATATTACTTCAGTATCCTTACAAACTTTGAAATTACACCTATATCCATCCAAAACTATAAAAATTACATACATATCCAAAATCATATTTTAATTAGAATTATATCAATTTTTATTAACTTTTTTTTTATCTAATATTCAAAATTATATATTAGTTTACCAAAATACCGTTTTCTAATTAAATTCCAAATTAAATCACAAACCTTCAATAGTGGTATATCGTCTTCTTAGTTCATCTCAATCCAAAATGAAATGGGACCATAGTTTGAAATGGGGTTATGGATTGGGATTTTATGAGTACTACACTCTGCATCCCCTTATAAAACCCAACATAGCAACCTTTCCCGAAAAACACTCATATATACATTACTTCAACCAAACAACAATATTATATTAAGAATCCATACAAAATTGGAAGAAGCCATGCCAACGTCCTCGTAAGATGAAGAATTAAGAATCTAATTCTATTAGGAAAAGAATTAAAACCCTTACCTTGGTCAGCTTCATAAAAAAATGCACATAGAAAGAAAATCCTTAAACATATTTAGATAATAGCACTTCGGCATATTTTCAATCTCACCACCAACCATCTCCATTGAGAACTAATTGTGGGAACGAAACATATAAAAGATTAAGCCATAAGTTTTCGATAAACCACAAAGGTCAAAGAATTGCTCATAAAAATAGATTAAGCCTTGTCCACTCCTAATAAACTTCCTATAAGTAATAAAGATTTTGCTTGGGGCTGGAAATTAACAGACACAAAAGGATCCAATGGGAATATCAATTTGGTAAATTCGATTCTTGAGGCCAAATGTACCAAACTCGCAAAGTACAGTTACCAGAAACGAAGGCGATACACAAAAACTATATCAATGGAAAAATCCAACCGTAAATTATACACATATCAGTACAACACAACACAAATTAAACCATCCAAAATCAATTACTTCACTAATTAAGCATCTAATTCTGAATATATTATAACAAAGCATAAACCGAGAAACCAATATTCAGCCATTGACGACCGATCATAATAATGAGGAGTAGTCGCCCCACTGGTTATTCGAAGTAGCATGAGAGGAACAGAGGCATGGAGGTTTACCGGTGGTGGTAGTTGATAGAGCAAGGAAGAAGAAGGTGAGGGAGATGGTATGTTGAATTGACCGAGAGAGATGTATTGAAGTAATAAAGAAGAGGGCATAATCGATGGAAGAAAGATAAAAGGGCAATTTGGTAAACTAGTACATAATTCTGAATATTGTATAAAATATTTAATAAAAAATTGATATAATTCTAATTAAAATATAATTTTGATTATTTATGTAATCTTTATAGTTTTGGATGGATATAGGTGTAAATTTAAAGTTTGCAAGGATATTGAAGTAATTTTTAGAGTTTGCAAGGATATATATAAAATTTTCCCTGCATTAAAAACTAAAAATACTAGAAGATATGTTGCTATAGACGTTGAAGATAGATGGGATATACAAAGGAGTGGAAATTTTTAAAAGATTTTATAAAATAAAAATTAATAGAAATATGATTTTGAATAACTAATATGGCATTTGGAAGTTGACTATTAAAGAGGTCTTAAAAACTATCCAATTACCTAACCCAATCCAATCCAATAAAATTTCAAATAAAAAATTTAATAAATAAAGTCAAATGAACTCTTACAATTTATTCCTTCCAAC